AATGAGACAGACTTTCACAAGAAACAGAACAGCAGCAATCAACTCTGACATTCAACTATGTGGCAGAATTTCTGCTCTACCAGGCTCTGTCACTCATTCCTCCCACCTCTTTAGCCTATGACTTCAACCTATGAGTGACACTTAAATGCATTGTTTAGTCTCACTGACATCCCAAAGGACTAAAAATGTCACCAATTTCTGGGCTAACATCTTAAGCTACTTGCTGGTTTCCCTTCTACTGCAACATTAATTTGCCATGTGGGACTTTAATGTGTGAAATAATTTCTTATGTTGGCAAAGTTCTTTGAAATCCTATTAAGAAACATGTGACATGGACAATGTTCCAACCAATACTATTAATTTTACTAGGACTAACAGGCAGTACATCAAAAATTTGAATGGTATTTTCACTGTCAAAATTAAAAATACTTTTCCTGACAACAGGCTTCCAAATAATGTATTATTAATTTCAGACAAAAAAGTTTTTAAGTGGATCAGGGGCAGAAACACAAGATACTCAATAATGCCTATGCTTATAAAGTTTTCATTACTATTCCCTCAAAAATTTTAAAAAACAAGGCATCTATACAATATACGTACACATTTAAAATATCTTCCTTTCCTTTTTGATACTTCGATCCCCAAATCTTAGATAATTTTATTATTTTTTAAACTCTACTGCTGTAAGAAATCTAAGTATGATAAAACAGGCATAGCCTATGACCATATATAATTCCTTCCTGAAATTCCTTTTTTATTCTCTGAGAAAAATGTCAGCCATAGAAATATTTGTCCTCCACTTATATAGCTATTTTTGTTTTATGGTTAGTTGCCCCCAAGAAACTTCAAAGTACAAAAATGAAAATGAAGGCAATATATTTGGTTTAAAATATTAGAAATTTATTTAATTATACTAAGGAATGAATTAACTCCTTACCCCCAAAATGATGTCTCATTTTTTGACCAGATGTAGAAAAGACTAGAGCCAGGAGTTTTATCCATAGTCCCCTTGGGTAAATCCTTCCAATAATCATAGTGAATTTTAGAGTTGTACCTGACTAGAACCTGAGGGCCGAACTAGTACTCCATGTAAATCTGCTAATGTTAAGTGCAAATATCATACAGACAGAAACCAATGCTTGCAGCATATGTATCACAGAAATAAGACATTCTGACACGACTATAAGGAGTTCAGGATACCACACTGGACCAAGAAGACAGCTGTGAAGAATAAAAAGCACAGTGAGAGACAGTGTCTCAGGATTCTAAGAGGAAAAAGAAACCAAGAGAAATTGAGTGAGGTTGAAATAAACAGACCAGGGTGCAAAGGAAATTTCTGAAAACTGAGTTAAGAAACTGTGTCCCCAAATGATGAGAATACTTGTACTTGCTCAATCATTTTGCTTCTGTGAGCCAAGACTAGGGGACAATGGTTGAGTCAATGAAGCAAATGAATAGAAGAAGCTTTCACAGGGAAAGGAGGAGTGATGTTACTAGAGGGGAGCAGTACAGCATAGTGATCAGGGACACAGGTTTTGGAGTTAGATAGAATCAGGTTCAAATTTAGATGCTGTTGTGTATTAGCTATCATTCAGCAAGCTACATAAGTGCTCTAAGTCCTGGTTTTCCCTAACTATAATATAACTGAAATGCCTTCAACTTATATAAAACACTTAGGACACTCCAAGCATACACAAAATAGAAGTTATTGTGATTAGAAAATATAACCAGTAGTATGTTAGAGATGTGTTTAAAAAAAGGGAAATTGAAGATAAGAATAAACTTAAGGTTTTGCTTTTGAGTTTCTATAGTACTGTAATAAACATTTTAATACTGCAGTTTTTTATTGAGAAACTTTATGGGTATTCTTCATTTTAGGGAAATACAACAAAAACTTGACCCAAGGAGGGTAACTCAAGAGTTGGTCTTTACATTATGAAATGACTATTTTATTTATAGGGTTTCTTCAAACCATATACTTAACATAAAACTAAAATGAATTTGTATACTTTCATGGATAATTCCTCTTTTTTGGATAATTTCTATTGTGGAAATTATAGTGATAGTCCATGCAGTGACCTGTGTTCTCTTTTTCCAAATCTGTGTCATAGACTGTTAGGGTAACTAATCTAGTACTGGAAAATTGTTATGGGTGGGTGGACGGAAGTCCATTGTAAAGCTGTGTGTCTTACCACTCTTAAACTTCTAAAGATTCAGCTATTACTAAGAGGGTAAGTTCAACCACTCCTGGTTAATGTGGCTTTCTATAAAGAATAAAATGCTAAACACAGGCGATCTTTGACTTCTGGCATTTCAACTAATGCTATATGGTAACTGCAGTTGTGACAGTGAGTTTAGAGGCATTTGAAAATGAAATGGGCTACTTAACAGGGAATGATTTCCAAGTCAGGGGAGATATTTAGATAGAAGCTAGATGCTCATTTCTTGGGAGATTTTAAGACAGACTGAAGTATCTGACAGGGATTAGACTACATGACTTTTTTTTCTGTTTTTTTGAGACAAGGCTTTGGGTTACAGCCCAAGCTGGCCTCAAACTCATGATTTTCCTGCCTTGGCCTCTCGAGTGTATGCATCATCACACCTGGCCAAGACTAGATGACCTCTCAGGATCTCTTCCAAGTCTATAGTTCCATGGCAAGCATCAATTCATCTTGTTCTTCGATCACTTATAGCTCTTATAACAAGAGATCAACCTTATATTATTCTATTTTCATAAAGTGTTCTGTAGAAGGATCCCTCTCTCTTGGCTCAATCTAATTCCAACTGGCCTTAAACACCCCTCCCACTATCAATCAGCATCTGCTACAAGTACACTGGCAGCAAGAAAAGGTGACAAAAGCTAATAGAGGCAGACAGAAAGGGAAGAGATTAGAAATACCAGGATCCCGTAAAGTTGCTCCAAAGCAATGACACTGGTTATTGTTTGCTTTGATGTGGCTTGGTAAACTACTGCTGACAGCAATTTCAAAACAGAGACACAAACATATAAAGTTAATAATGACAATCCAGTAGGTTAAGTATTTATAATAGAGGCCTGAACACAGTGCTATGGGAACACAGAGACGGACCAGTTTTGTCAGCGAGTATCAAAAAAGTAAAAAGCTGAGTCTTGAAGGATGAATAGGAGCTGACTGGGTGGAAATGGGGCGAGGCATGGTTGCCAAAGGAAAAAAAAATGTTCAAAGGCAGAGAGACATAAAAGAATGTAATGGGGAGTAATAGTAGCTCCTTTAAGCAGGAGAGTTTCATAGATTTGCATCAACAAAGGTAACTCTGGTGAGTGGTATGAAAGGGTTTTGATGACAAGCAGGTAAACCAGTGAGCCAGAATGAGAACTCAAAGTAAGACAGTGGCAGTGAAGCTGGAGAGAAAGGGATGGAGTTGGATATTTGAAGAACAGAACCAACTGGAAATATTGACTGATAGCATTATGTTTAATTGTCAGTTTTATTATGAGTATATTTTTTAAAGCATTATATCAACAGAAATGAGATGATGACAGATTGTAGGATCACTGATTTATTTTCTGATGGTGGTTGTTTCTTTTCATATTATGAAACTTATTAACTTACATGTTTCTAGCAAAAAAAGAACAATTGAAATTACTACAAATATATTTTAAATTTCATTTCTTGGCTATTCTCATTACTTAATTTCTTTCAGAAGTAGAAATATAACAAAACTAGTATTGCTGATTCTTTAAATACATGTCTCTTAATCATCACAACAAACCTACTATATTGGTATCATACCCATTTTACAAATGAGGAAACCAAGACTCAGCAGAAATTCAATAGCTTCTCTAATATCCGAAAGCTATGAATTGAGGGAACCAGCACTAGAATGCAGATATGAACGGCTCTAAAGCCCACACTCCTACAATCGCATACTGCCTCTATACTTAAAAAAGCAAATGTCAAAAAAATTTAAGTAACGTTAACTGGCAAATATTACTATCATAAAAATGACCATATGATTATAATATTTGAATACCTTCAAACTGAGACATGAAGGGAATGAGGAAGCCAAGTACATGGATATCTAGGAAAAGCCTTTTCCACGTAATGAAAATGGCATGTACAAAGGCCCTGATGATGAACTTCACTTGATATGTTCAAAGAAAAAGCACCAGAATGGCTAAGGCCAAATGAGTGGAGAGTGGTAGGAAGAGGGGAGTAGGAGATTAGGAGAGAGACAAGGACAAGCAGAGCATGGTAGCATTGTAGAACATTAATAGTAAATGAAATATAGGTTTTGTAATAGCTTTGGCACACAGGAGGTCTTCTCTTCTTGGATATAAGGATTAACACCAAGTGAGAAAAGTCATGTCAATTGATGTGTTCTTGTCCATGTTGACTAATAGGAAAAGTGTGCTGCTCTGAGCAATAATAAAAGCTATGAAGCAGAAAATGCAACAGTATAGGAGGGCACGTAGTCTTAGACAAGAGATACACACCTTAGTAAGCTGATACCTGAGGCACAGGAAAACCTCAATACACAACAGATGAGAACTTTTAAAATATACTATCAAAAAGAGCAATTACATTTTATGTCGTGTATTTTCAAACCTTTGAGCTTAACACAGACATCTTTTCATCACTGAAATGCAGAAGATTTGCTTCATCTGAAATCTAGTACTATCTGAGATGACTCATTCTTGGCCACTACTCTGCATTAGAGATGGAAATGCTGGAAAGGTGAAGTAATGAACACTTTCTTCAGGTTGCTTTGAAGCCACGTTTCCAACCAGAAATGTTCCTTTTCCATAGCATCTTCAGACCTATAGGAGTCCAATCTGCGCTCTCAGTTCTACAGCTATGCCAAAAAGCTTTTTTTCCCCCAATGTCACAATGGCTCTCTTTAGGGGGCATTTGGAAACAAATTAGTATTTTTAGTATTACCATTTTTATGGTTGAGTCAAAGCAATTATTATTAACTCCATGAAACAGCTCAGTTTTGGTACCCCAAATGTAGCATACTTCAAATGCTGAGATGATGCTGCAGCTTGAGTTTGGTATTGAATCATCTACAAGCTCTGTCTGGGCTTCACTGTATCAATTGCCTGGGGTCTGGGTACAGTCTGTGACGTGGAGAAAAAGACAGAGAACAGGTCCAATTGGGGATTGAACTCACGACCTCATTATTAGTATGTCTAACCAGCAATGTACAGTTGTTTGTTGCTTTTCATATGCAACACGGCATCACTCATTTCAAAGTCCTAACCCAGGTAAGCAAATTAACTCCCCTTAGCTAGGGGGCAACAAAAGGCCATCTTAGAAGAATGGCTTAGGTTATATCAGCCTGAAGAATTTATGAGAGATTTTCTTTCCTGCTGTTCCCAATGAAGTGACTATAGTTGGAACTTTTTAAATCAGCTCTGTGGAACATATAAAGCAGGCCTGAAGGTAGCTGGGTATAGCAACAGGAAGTTGGGTTCTGAGCTTCTAAAGAATTCATTTTTTGGCCTTTTCTAATTTTGTCTTTTGCCACTAAAAAGACACAAAAGTTAGCATTGTAGAAAAAATTTTTAAATGAGGTCAATAACGTGCTAATCTATTTTGAATGATGAGCCTACAGTTTTAATACAGATATTTACAGGACAACTTTGTGATATGAAATAAGATTGTAAAATTAACAAAAATGAGTTTTCTGAACATAAGACCAATTATAAATCTGTACTTTAGGAATAAAATTTATGTTCTTCACTTTTAGATTTTAAACATACTGAAAAGTACACCATACATTTGATATTAATAGTTTCTCAATGGAACTAGTATTAAATGTTGTTTTATCATCTTGAAAAACACCTTGCACCTATAAAAGTCCATTTCCAATATAAATTTTAAAAGCTACCATTTGTCCTTTTCTAGTTTATTATATAATCTATCTCCATATATAATAAATTATTTGTTAACTAGAAGCAGTTCAGAATATGTAGCTCTTTAGTACAAAACTTTTATGCTGATTGTATGCTCTTTATTTAGAAAGTGAAAAGGAATGTAAAAAATCTGGAAGTTGTTTTTAAGAAAAATAAACTTATGATGCAAGATAACGGGCTAACAACAAATTGAAATCAGTAATAAAAAGGCAATTTTTCCAAGGACTACTACCTTGGATATCCACATACTTTAAAGTTTAAGAGAAGGGCAAAGATCACAGAAAAAGGCTTTGTTTTTTTTTTAATGCCTTTTAAAAGAAATCTTTTCAAAAGCATTTTCTTGTGCTCCAAAAAAAAACATTAACTATTTTAATAGGGACCAGGCATGGTACTGCACATCTGTAGTCCTCAGCTACTGTGGATGCGGAGATCAGGAGGATTATAGTTCAAAGCCAGCCTGAGCAAAAAGTTAGTGAGACCTCCCATCTCAACAAATAAACTAGGTATAGTGGTTGACACCTGCAATTCCAGCTGTGAAGGAGAAACAGATAGAAGGATAACAGTCCTAGGCCAGTCCTGGGCCAAAACTCGAGATCCAACCCAAAACATAACTAAAGCAAAAAAAGGCTGTGGGTGTGGTTCAAGTGTTGGAGTACCTACCTAGCAGGCCCTGAGTCAAATTTTTAATACTAAGTTATTGCACAAAAACTTCAATTAAGTTAAACTACTCAAACTACTAGCAACATTGTCTCCTAGAAACAGTCAAAGAATTGTTTGTGTGATATTCTAGGTAGGAATAATCACTTTGAGCTTGCATCTGTATAACCATCTTATTCTCCAGAACACTAAGATACAATCTCTTTTCTTGTTCATTCAGGTCTTAAGGACTTAAACACTTTAGACACTTAAAAGTAGAACCAATATTTATAATGTAAATGCTCAGATAAAAGGAAATATGTTTTCAAATGCCTACAATGTAATTTTAGGCCACTTCTAATATAATAATTTCTGACATTATTTGTGTTCTAATTTAGCTTCACCATTTCAGTCTTTCATCTGAAGAATCCATGAAGAGTATCTCAGGCAATGATTCACAATAAAGAAGACAGGTATCAGTGTATTATAGTGAAACAAAATATGAATTCACTTTAACTAAACAGGAGGAAATTTAAACTATTAACTTAATTTTTTCATCTGCCAAGTATCAGGGCTATAATCTAACTTCGTTCTGGGTACTTTTTGGTGGAGTGTGAGAGTGTGTGTATGTGTGTGCGCACACATAAGAGTTCTTTATTTCAAAGGACTTTTTCAGTAACATGTTCATCTTTCCCTTTAAAATATGTTTACAAATCTCTCAAAATATTCACCCATCTTGTATAATTACTTTGCTTATAACAATTTAAATATGTCCTTGCATTTTCTTACCTTTTTGGCCCCAAAACAATTCAAAAAGTGGTATGTAATGTTTTGCTTTTATAGACAATGAACTAGGGATGGATCAAACGAAACAATTTCATGAATTGCTTTAGATACATTTCAGCTTTTATTGCAGATGTACAGTATCTGTGTTCATCCAGTATCACCTTTTGGGGGGGAAAACCACATTCTATCTAGGACCATAACTATTTACGTACCTTATCTCTCCTGCTATATTATAAACTCTTAAGGCAAAACTTTGACCAGATTTACAGGATGAATTATTTAATTATGATAAAAATGGTGGGAGGAATCACAGCATCCTAGGAGCAAAGGGGTAAAGTACATAGATGCATTAATAGGGCAAATTTCTTGCAGTTCACCCTATCCAACTCAAGAACCATGAACCTTTACACTGAAAAAGCCCATTTTCAGCTTCTCTCACAGCTTTTTCACAAATGGCCTTTCCTGCATTTCTGCCCAAAGGCATTGTGCCTGTGGCTTTTAATCAAAGCAGCAGGGAGGTTCCAACTGGAGTCTCTGGAGATCTGAAAGATGTAATAAGGAATTAGTATCAGATATACCCACTAAACTTAATTTCTGTGGCAGTAGGTGCTATATGAATTCAGACAATTCTCTATAATGTGGGAGCTATACCTATATTAGGAATGCTTCTTGCTCTTTAGTTTCTCTTTTCACATTCTGCTGGTCATTTTCAACATTATCCATAAAAAAGTATGGTTGTGCCCCAAAATGGCACATCTCTTCACATTAGCACAACACTAGGATAATGAAGGAGTGCATTAACCTAGCAGCTAAAATGAAGATTCCAGCCTTCTGCAAATAAATGTCATTACCATGCTTTTCTATAGATAATGTTGAATAAAAGACATACAACCACCTAGGTTCTAAACTGTGCCTTAAATTAGGGGCCGGGAGTGTGACTCAGTGATAGTGCTTGCCTAGCATGCACAAGGGTTCAATACCCAATATCACAAAAAGTAAAAAATTATGTCTTAAATTAAATGCTTTACAAAATCTGACAAACATTTAATTTCTCATTTGTTAATCAATTAACTGAAACTATAAAATTAAGTGTAAGTTTTAGGACCATTCTCCTTTTTATAAAAAGGCAATAAATTGTAGGTTATAAATTAAGCCAATTAATTTGCATTGGGTTTTTGATACATCTAATTTATTTCCCCCCAAAAGCATATTTTAGCCAAGAGTCTTGCCATGGCCACTTGCCAAAAATTATCTGTCCTTAATAGCTCAGAATGAGGCTTCCATGGCAATAATGTATAGTCAGAAGTGACTCATATATAGCTTTTCTTTTCAGAAGAAAAAAATCAATCTGGGTGATGCTACCATAAGGACTGATATTACATGAGAGGAGGACAGAACTTGTTTGATCTAATTACTCACAACATGCCAAGTGCAGTTACTTAAAATAATCAAGTATAAGAATTAGCACATAATAGTCTACCCTGATGGGGAAAATATAATGTTACTTACAATGGTTGTAAACTCATACTGCTTTAGAAAAGTGCCAGATTATGCCAACAAAATAAAAAAGCAAATTCAGTTTACAATACCCCAAGTCACCAAAAAGTACCCAATCAAACTAGGACTTTCTAAAGGAATTAGGCAGGTCTGTTAGCTATTTTTAATATCTCAAACAATCTAATAGAAAGTAAACACTGAAATATGCAATTTCTTTCTTCCTCTCTCCCACTCTTCTTCTCCTCTTTTCTATATTCCCTGTCTCTCTCTCTCTCTCTCTCACACACACACACACACACACACACACACACACACACCCTCACTCACTCACCCATTCAACTTACACAAAACAAAACTCCAAAACTACATCATCTTTTACGTGATCATACTGTTTCCTAGAAAGGACTAAACCTCCATTGCTAATTTTTCAGAATTAAGCAGCCCAACAAAAGTAGCACAGTTCAGAATCATGCTCCAGACACTGCCAGCACCTACAATAATTGTTTCACTTACCAGAGGTCTGAGTATAACAAAAAAAGAAGTCAGGAAAGACAGTCTTTTACGTATGGTGACAGACCACATTCCAGTTTTTACTAAATAATAACACATCTATTAATCACTTATGTATTCTAAAAAACTTTATTATCAATTTGTATTTACAAAGAAATAGATATGCACTTTGTAGGGTAATTTATTAGTCAAAATTTTAAGGAATTTTCCTTGAATGAGATATTTGCATTCATCTCTGTTAATCACAATTCTCTTCTGTACAAAAAGTTACTAAAAGAGGAAAAATAAATCTCTTTGCTTTCTAACATATAAAAGCCATAAATGCAAGTAACTATTAGAAAAATTCACAAATAATTGGTAAATAGAAATTATTCTTCAACTGGCACAAAGAACATTTCTACTTTGAAGTCTTGAGCACAGATAAACAGTAAATTGTGTACTTCAACACCAACTTCTATGGCTCCTCAGCTCTACATCCTGCTTATTTACTATAATCTCTTCTGCTTTTACGCAGAACCTCCAAAAACAGAGAAAAGTCATCTCCTTAATAGTTTCATGTTCTAATTCCCACAAGTTTTTCATGCCTTCTACATGGAAACTATGTATTTTTACAAATACTCAGCCTATTTATAGGTCTTACTTCAATTTAAAATAAATCAGTATTTCAATTAGGAAAACACACAACTTGACTATGACAAGTATTTTAATTTTAAAACAATGCTTATGAATCAAAACTTAATCCAGAGGCTGGTGGAGTGGCTCAAGTGGTACAGTGTCTGCCTTGCAAGTGTGAGGCCTGGAGTTCAAACAAAAAAACAAAAAAACCTTAATTCAGGATAGACATTTTTTAAGTATCTGGTAATTTTTAAATTTTAAAGGAAAGGTTTAAGAGGTTAATGGACCATGAACAAGCTGTCTTATTATACAATGGCTAATGATTACAGAAGAAACGGGGCTCAGATAATTGTATGGCCATGTTTATTGCAGCATTATTCACAATAACCAAAAGGTAGAAGCCACCTGAGCATCCACAGATGCATGAATGGATATACAAAATATGTGTGTGTGTGTGTATACAAAGAATGTTATTCAGCCTTAAAAAGGAATTTTTTTAAATAGAAGGAATATGACACGTGCTACCCACATGGATGAACCTTGAACAAATTATGCTAAGTAAGCCAGTCATGTGATGACAAATAGGGATCTAAAGCAGTCCAGTTCATAAGAGATGGAAACCAGAATGGTGGATACCAAGGGTAGGAGAGGTAAAAGGAAATCAGTAGGGTTTCTGTTCTGGAGATGATAGATGACCACAGAATTGTATGGTTAAAATGGCAAAATTTTATTTTACGTATATTTTTACCACAATAAAAAAGAAAAAGCATAAAGTTGAGTAGCACTCTGAAAACTGAACAACAGCCTATCTAATCACAGATGAAAACAATGAATAACTAGATGCTCTAATTGTTTAAGACACTTATACCTGGAAATTTCAGGGTTATTTTTTTTACTTTGCTTTCTTATTCCTTTCAGCCACCAGCACCCAAATTCATTTGATTATATTTACTCATTTTTTAAGTTATGGGTTTTATGATGGGAAGACCAGACTCCAAGAATCACAAATTACTATTTTCAGAAAAAAAGTGTATTCTTCTAGAAGACTAGGCTATGCAAAGAATAAAATTTCATATTGCACACTAGTATATTTTTATAACAAGCATTATCATTTTATACAATAATTTGATTCACCTTTATTCTGACTAGTTGATACAACCTTGAATTATATAATTTCTATAATCTCACCTAGCAATTTTAAGAAATTTTAAATACTGTTACAAATTTAACTCACAATCTGAAGAACTATTGACCCATGACTTACATTTATAGTAACCTGCTGTTAAGTTCATTACTTTCACAATTAAGCTACAAAACATGAATTATAAGAAATTTTAAGTTTCTATTCTTACGGTCTTATTTCAATCTAAAATAACCCAAAATTTCAACTAGTACAACACACAACTTGATTATGAGAGTTATGTGCATATATAGCCATCAAGAGCACAGACTTTGCAGTCAATGGCCTGGATTTGCATCCTGATTCTGCCACTTACTGGAAGTATGAATGGGTATATGATTTAAATTATTTAATCTATTTCCTCACTTTTAAAATGTGGATATTAATACCAAAGAGCTGTTGTGAGGAGTGTGTGTATAAAGCTCCTTGGTAATGTCTGACAAATATTAAATTCTTTTTTTTCAAGATTCAGTGTAGTTTTATTTCCCAAGAGTAGAGAGGAAGAATAAATTGAGGAAAACTCAACTCTGAACCCACTTAATATTAAATTCTCAATGACAGTCATTAACAGCAACATAGCAGGTAGAAATAAGAATATTGTGGGACTGAAAAACATTATATTGAAACTTCTTTATTGACAACATATAATTTGTGACTCTAAAATGAATTCAGGAAAAAAGATTAATTGTATTTTGTAAGACTTATTTTCTTTTGTTCAACTCTTCTAAGTAACTTGATTGTTAATGTTAATCAAATGAAATTACACCAAGCAAATTCATATATATACATGTGTACATACACAAAATCAAATGTACATACACACTCCTCTTTAATGTGCTTCATACAATGTGAGGAAGTTGTATAGAAACATGAGGAAAAAAGTTGAAGCGTAAACAGGAAAAGGCACAGACTACCACGAGAGTATAAGGTACACAGATGTAGGCAAATTTCCAAGTTCAATGGTTGTGAAAAATTCACTTTGATCACATTATTGTTAACAAAAAAACACTACAATTCTTCAAGTAATTATTATCCTTGGTGATAAATCCACAAGTCCAGAAAAGTTGGATACTTATCCCTTCTTATCAATGTAGGCAAAAGTATTTATTTTCTTCAAACACCATCAAGTTGCTACCAGTTGCTACCAGTACTAAAGATTTCTAAAGTATATAATATTTGATAAATGAGATTTCAGCCAAAATTTCACTAGAAAGCACAAAATGTTTCTGTATTATCAAATATATACTTTTTACTAGCCAAATATAAAGAAAAATCCAAATTTCACAACAGAGTTATCTCCAAAATTGTGTTCCTTGGAATACTAATAGCACAAGACACTGGAGTGGGAGGATAAGAAGGGTTCTACAAGGGTCAAGTGTGGTGGTTCATGTCTATAATATTAGTACTTGAGAGGCAACAATAGGAAGACCACAGTTTGAGGCTAGTCTGGGCAAAAGTCAGGCATGGTGATATAAACATGTAGTCCTAGCTACTTGGGAGGCAGAATTAGGATTGCAGTCCCAGGCTGGTCCCAGTAAAAAGCAGGAGACCATAATGGGGGAAAAAAAACCTAAAAGGAAAAGGACTGGGGGTGTGACTCAAGTGATAGAGTACTTGCCTAGCAAGTGTGAAATCCTGAGTTCAATCCCCAGTACTGCCAAAAAAAAGTTTGTAGTCAAAGAAATTAAAGTCTAGAAAATGATGCCTTCTATACCTCTCTATTAAAGATTCATAATATTAACAAAAAAGGCTTTGAAAAGTCCTGCAATGAGCAGGGCTGTTTACATTTATTAACCCATGTTAGTGGTTTGGACAGTTAGTGTTTACCAAAGTTACTTGGCCACAGAATACTTTTCTAGGTAATGCTAAGGAATCAGTGTACCTCATAGCAAGTTACCTTGGGAAATGTACAGTAAGTTTTCTATGATTATTTATTAAGTGAGAAATTTTATATGTATTTGTCCCAAAAGCTTGCCATTAGCAGAATCTGTTAAAGTCCCAACATGACAAAAAAAAATCTAGCATATCTAGGCTAGCATCTATACTCTCTTTAGAAAGTTGTCGTTCTTTCCAGAATATTTACTTTGACCTCTTATAGTCTGTATGTTAATCAAGTCCAAACACCCAGTATGTAATATCTATGAAAAGCTAAAAAATGAATGCGACCCTCTGAACAACTGATTTTTTATTGAGCTTCATGTAGCTGTGAGCTACTGCACACCTTCAAATATGAGAATATTAAACTCAGTTACACTGTTTTATTAACTGGTAGTTGAGCCTACTTTATATAATTCTACAGTAAAATAATGAATATTCTACAGCAATGTCATGATTGATTATTTTATTTCCCTGACATTCCTATTCAGTATATAGAATGAAATACTGTAATTACTACTTCACCTATTGAGGTTAAACAACTTGCACCAAGTACCAATAGTTAGCAAGGACCAATTTCATGTTGGACGGACAATGTACATATTGTAACTATAGAAACTGTGACAGATAATCACTCTAAAATATGACCAAAACCAGGAAATTCTTTTACTAAAACCCTATTAAGGAATTTTCTTCTTTTGAAATAATTTAGGAACATTTAGAAGTCTAAATGTGAATAAAAAGAATCAGCATGCTAGATAGCTTTTTGTGATTTCAAAAATTAAGAACAAAGTCTTAACAACCATAATGAGGCACTCATTACTTTGTCCTTGTGTTACATAAAACCAAATAAGCAAGCTACAATTAATTTGGGGTGAAGTATGAATGTGAATGATAATGCTGCCAGGCTGTGACATCACTTTCTTCCCAAGTTCTCTTTTCAACTTTAAAAGCACATAAAAGTGTAACACAATGTGTAAGATGAAAGAGATATCAACTATTTTTCAAAGGTCTAATAGGGAAAAAATAATGACTGTTATTATAGAAATAATATATTTTGATAACCCATTGACAATTTGGTCATTGATTTTTTTAAGTTATACAAAATAATCTGGCCACCGGAAGAAAAAATATCCCATCCAAACATCTATGGCAGAATACATATAATCACAGTGTTTTACATTATGATAATAAATATCAATAGGATTTTGTAAGAGACAAGGTAACTGGTCAAAGAGAAGGAAAAGTTTGACAGGAAAGGAGTTAAGAATGTTAATAATTCAGTAAAGGTAAAGGAGTTAAAATATTAGGTTCAAGTTTCATAAGCATTTTTTTAACGTAGAAGCAGAGGTAACAAAAATTGGTTTTCACCTGGTAAGTGTGTACTCCCTGAGTCCTGAATGCAAATTCATGGCAGAAAAAGTACCTATGCATCCACGCAATCTTTTGTCTCGACCAATCTTCCACGTTACAAACAGTGGGCTGTAATGGAAGATAAAAATAGGGTAAATCAATCAATTCAACTCAAGTATTTATTGAATAGCTATCATATGCTAAGTTAGTGCCTGAGATATAAGCTCTCAATGAGCTCAGGTTCTAGATCAGTAAGACTACATTAAGCAAAAAAAAAAAAAAGTACATTGTATTGGGGGGGGTCCTATGTGCTATGTGTTAGGCATCAAAATGAACATTTTAACAAATTAACACTGATCAAAAACTCTAGGAGGCCTACTTTCAGATAAGGTAGTCCCACAGTTGATACATAATAAAATAGGTACTCAAACCTGGGTAATGTTGACTACAGAGCCTTAACAATCATGGGTGACTGCCGGATTTCTCATTTAAACAACAAGTTACTGATTGATTCATCAGTCTAATTTAGAAAATCGGGGAGGGGGAATCAACAACTTGAATAAATACTTTCTGACAATATAGCAGTTATGTGTACACTGGGAAAGGTGCTAAGGAAGGAACATGGAAGTACAAGAGGCAGTCATTGTTCTCTTGGAACCAATACAGGAGGTAGACGTTCGCAGTAAACTAATACAAGATAAAAGGAAATAAGCCACATAAACCATGTCTAAAATGCCATAGCAAAAGTTTGTCATGCTTGATAATCTTCAGTTTGCCCTACAAAAATTAGTAGGATTCAGATAGGTGAAGGGCAATAGCAAATATTAACAAACTAATACTTTTAAGTAGAAAAATTATTTTAATTTTTATACAAAAGTGTTGCCTATAAATATATCTCAACCATCACAGAGTAGGGTGTCAATTATAATAAAATTACATAAAAAATAATGTGGTTTTAAATGAAGATTAATACACTAGTTATTTTGATTCTGCCTCAAATGAATGACAGCCACAATTAAGTCTAGGGTTAGAGGAGTGGCTCAAGTGGCAAAGCACCTGCTTAGCAAGCATGAGCCCCTGAGTTCAAGTCCTAGTACAACAAAAAAAGTCTAAAAATAATTATGTCCTAATTATAAGCAACTTTCTGCCAATTTTATGAAATTAATATACACATTTTAGGATATTTTAGAAAAAGATAAATACCCCACAGTTGGGGATGGTCTGTATTAATGTGAGTATTCACTGTTATTCATGTAACACTGGTATGATACATTTTTGCTTTGTAAAAATTTGAATTTTAGGGGTACATACCATATGTAATAAATTTCTTGCCAAGTCTTTTGTTACTCATAGGAATATTAGTATCTTAAAACATACACATTATCTTTAAAGCTAAATTTTCCATCATCCAAAACACCACCACCAACAAGTGCTGGGGAGGATGTGGGAAAAAAGGAACCCTAATCCACTGCTGGTGGGAATGCAAGCTGGTGCAACCACTCTGGAAAAAAATTTGGAGACTTCTTAAAAATCTAAACATAGACCTGCTATATGATCCAGCAATCCCACTCCTGGGGATATACCCAAAGGAATGCGACACAGGTTACTCCAGAGGCACCTGCACACCCATGTTTATTGCAGTTCTATTCACAATAGCCAAGTTATGGAAACAGTCAAGATGCCCCACTACTGATGAATGGATCAAGAAAATGTGGTACTTGTACACAATGGAATTTTACTTAGCCATGAAGAAAAATGAAATCTTATCATATGCAGGTAAATGGATGGAACTGGAGAACATCATTCTGAGCGAGGTCAGCAAGGCTCAGAAGACCAAAAATCGTGTGTTCTCCCTCGTATGCGGACTTTAGATCTAGGGCAAGTGCAGCAATGTTGTTGGACTTGGATCACAAGAAAAGGGGAGAGCACATACGGGAGATACAGGAATAGGTAGAAAACCCAAAACATGAAAGCGTTTGATGTCCCCACCCAGAGGAACTAATACAGATACCTTAAAACGACAGGTTATCCTTAGCAGGGGATCAGGAACCAATGTAAAGATCAGTTAGAGCTGAATCAACATGGTTACACGAAAGCAATAGTAGGAATCTTTCTGTATAGCTATCCTTAACTCAACTAGCAAAAATGCTTTGTCTTCCTTATTATGCCTATGTCTTTTCTTCAACATAATTAGTGATAAGGGCAGAACAGGACCTGCCTGGAACTGAGGGGGAGAGGGGGAGAGGGTGCGGAAGGGGAGCAGGGTGGAGAAATGACCCAAACAATGTATGCATATGTGACTAAATGAACAACAACAAAAAGCTAAATTTTACCTCATTTTTCACTTTGTAACTTGGTATACCAAATGTCAGCAACGATTTCTATGGACAGATATCAATCCTCTCCCATCATACTGACTATATATTATCTTTAAGTAGAAGTTCTTTGGAGCTTTGGCAGCTTCAGAATAATGTGAATCATACTGTGATATGTAGAATACTGTGTCTTTTACTATGGTGGCTTCTCGATAATGCAGAACTATACTGTTTATTCTCTTACTCGGTGACTTGAATGAGAAACCTAAAAGTGTGAGTGAATTCATTTCCTATCAAAAACACTAGAAATGAAGTCATTTAAAAGTATCTTACCTTTAATTCTCTTTATTTAGCTCAGTAAAATATACACATACATCATTCTTATAATACTATAACACTATCTGCTCAATTAAATATTGGAAACATAAAGGATAAAAAGTACACAAACTAAATACTGTACTGTACTATGAAATATACTAGGGCATTAAAACACATGGTGGGGGCAATTACATAAGTTTCTTATAATGCTAGGCTATCACCCATTAGGGAATAATTAATTTGGAGCTTACATGCTAGAGGATAAGCTGAATTTTTGCAAGGTAGCCAGGGAACAAAGGCATTCCACAACAACCAAGGGCATGGGGATGTAAAAGTGCACAGTACATTCAAGGAACAGGTAACTTGACGATCTCAATAACTTGCTATGCTCTCTTTCACATTTAGCATTCTTTGAATTTTAGGCACTGTTGAATATGTGTTCTCAAGAGCCTTGATAAAGCAGATGCAGAATTATCTATACTCTCCCTGTTCCTTACCTGCCCCAGGCAACATCTGCTTTAGGAGTTAGGATTACAGGGAAGTCCTGTCAAAGGTGGGGGCAGGTGGAAGGTGTTACTGATCAACCCTACTGTATTCAGGACAGGTGCCTGAAGATGGAAGAAATCAGATTTTTAGTAGACAGAATATAACTATTCCTCAAAAATCTGGGACTCTGATTTCTCATTTACGAATGCTCATCCAACATTTTTTATATAAACATGTTCATGGACTTAAAAATAACTTAAAATGTCTAAAAGCAACATTAAAGGGAAAAAGAATCCAGGAAGTTAAGCATTTTAAACTAGACTGAAACAGAATAAACATCACTAAGCACAAGAGACAGCATCTTGAGTGTGGTAACTACTTTGTACAGGGCAATGACTTACAGGAACATTTAATACGTATTATCTAAAAATAGCAACAAAATTTTTTCTTGACCCAACACACAGAGGGAAGGAATTGGCGATTTCATTCTTAAATATGCTATTAAAGCATGTATGAGTTCCCAAAAGTATGTTAGACATCAGCAAAATCAGACCAAAGAAGAAAAATGGTTTTGATCCTTTTGAGAGGAGCTACTCGATGACAAGGAAATAGTTCATAGTGAGACAAAGATTGAATGCTTTTGGAAAATGCTTTTGCCATATGGTTTAAGGCCACCTACACACATTTTTTAAAAACTACAAACTACAAAAGGTCTCAAAATGAGATGAAATATTAATGGAAAAGTTTATCTGAGGGTAACCAGACATAGCTTTTTAAGAATTATCCTACTTATGCATATTTTGTACCATTACATTCTGAGAAACCTTTGGAGGAATATAAACTCCATTTTTCCAAGTCTGTAGACAGAAACAGGAAGTAACCACCTAATCCAGGTGCATCCCATCTGCCAACTGGCAGCCAATACTGTCAAGACAACAGTGGTTCTCAAGGAAATGTAGTTGCACAGAATCAGCAAAAGTACAAAAAGCAATGTAAATCTGCATAACACACTCCCCAATACAAGTTGCATACCACTTCTAATGCCCTTCTTCTGGCACTTTTATTGATGTAAACCAAATCTATGTTTGTAGCCAGGTGTGGTTGGCTCATGTGTGTAATCCTAGCTACTCTGGAGGTGGAGATCAGAAGGGTCATGGTTTGAGGTCAGCCTAGGCAAAAAGGTAGAGAGGGCCAATCTCAATTAGTAAGCCAGGCATGGTGGCCCATGTGCCTGCCATCCTAGCTACATAGGAGGCAAAAAAAAAAATTACAGTCCAGGCAAGCCTAGGCAAAAAACACAAAACTCTATTTTAAAAATAAGCAAAGCAAAAAGAGTTGGGGGTGTGGCTGAAGTGGTAGAGTGCCTGACGAGCAAGCATGTGTCTCTGTGTTCAAACCTTAGTACTATATATAGCCCACTTCCACAATTAGATGAGACAATGAAAAAGGTATATGTACTTAACAATATTGTACTGCAAAGCTTACCTCTCCTTCCATACAAGGCAAAGTTGGAAGTTTAAAAAGAAAATCTTAGACCATGGTGAGCTCTCAGTTTGTTAATTTACTATTCATTAAGATTAGATTCTTTAGAATAAATAGGTGGAATAAATAGAATAAATATAGGTAGCAACATTAACAAAATAGTATCAATCTTATCAATATAATAATAATTTACTAAGGCAAGGGTACTCAGCAAGATTACATATATCGAAGGTAGATAGAGGAAAATAGAGAAGCCCTGTATCTTGATTTATTTCTTCTGCCATCAAATAATGATTGCTTCTCAACTGTACTCAGGTTCCTCAGTAGCTTAGCTCAAAAATTCAATTTTACTTATTATTCCTAACATCTAACCAAACTCAATATAATTCTCCAGGATTAAGAACCTTAAAGATAAACAGAACTGATGGTGTCTTATTTCCACCACCAGGTTAAAACATTTTGGGTCCTAATACATGAAAAAGAAGTTATATGTTTCCTTTCCAAACAATATAAACTATAGGCTTAACTCATAAAAACATACCTAATATGATTAAATCTTGAGTTATTTAGCTCAGGCTACC